GTCACCCAGAAGAAAGAAGGAGTCCTTCCAGGAAAACCAGGCTCAGCAACAGAGCCTCAGGGGTGGAGGAGAGTGGTCCTCGGGTGCCCCCAGCCTCTGGGTTTGATCCCCTTCTCAGATACTCATGTTAGTGTGAAATAAGATGGTGCTTCTCCTTAGTGACAACATTACAAAAACAACCCTGAGAAATCTCCGCAGGCCAACTATGCAGGGGCAAGAAATGCGATGATCCTACCTTTGCAAGAAATAATCACAGCAACAAGACAATGAAGAGCATTTTGTCCAGAGCAAATTTGCAAGAATCTGCTCCTTGGGAGAGGCAGGGAGCAGAGAGCAATCAGGCTTTTTTCCTCATGTTGTCTGTCACTATGAGAGGTGCCTACAGAGACAGGATGGGCTCCAGGCTGGCTGCCCACATGGACTCAGGCAGGCCCCATAGACTATGGGGCTTCCAGAAGGGCATAGGGAGGGGGGGGGGGGGGGGGGGGGGTACCTGCAGGCCTATTTGAAAGGGTAAGTAAGGGCTGGCATCCAGCACAATGCAGGTTAAATTAAATGTGACCTAAATTTTACCTTCAATTCATCTGCTGCCCAGGCATTAGGGATACATAATGATTTGCAAAACCACAAATGGAGGATTACCTTCATTGCTGTCTATTTCATCAAGAACGCAGGAGATTTTTTTTTGTAGAGTGTATTTGTTCAAAAGCGTGAAGAAACAAGATACATAAATAATTAGAGACTACTTTGGGAAGAAATAATTGGTACTGGAATGTTTAAAAACCTCTGGAAGGTGACATGTATTATATTATGCATGCATTAGCACAGAAAATAAAACTCTGGTGTGTGTCAGTTGTTTATTCTCTCAGGTTCCAAAAATCCATAAATTAGCAAGCAGACCCTTTGAGGCCATGGTTTCTCTCCAGCAGCACTACGGGCATTTGGACAAGGTTTATCTTTGCTGTAGGATGTGTCTGGGATCTTCAGCAGCATATTTGGTCTCTACCCACTTGTTGTGACAATCCAACATGGGTCTGAGCATTTACTTAATGCTCATGGCCAACTGTCCCTGGAGGGGAACACCCCTGCTTTCAGGCATTGAGCATTATGCTCACGTTCAGCCTCAGAACAGTGTCAGTCATGCACGTAAAGACCTGATGCTGCCTAATGTTATGTAACTACATAAAATATATTGATACGGGATTTTTGGACTGGAACACGCAGTGTTCCCCTGGGCAGGGTGGTTCCTGGGCTCTTTGTCCATCGGAGTCAAAGAGTGAATCCGTGGACAGAAGATGGTATAGCAAATGTGGAAATTTATTGAAGAACAAGTACAGACTCCCAAGTGGGGAAGGGGAAAGAATCTCACAGCACAGACTCCCACGTGGGGAGGGGGGAAGGGTCCCACCAAGTTCCTGTTTCCATGGTTTATAAAGGCTGCAAGTCTCTGTGTCCTGATATCCCTTCTGATTGGTCAATATTCCCTTTTGAATTAGTTACTATAAGTAACTGCTGAGCTCAAAGGTCAAACCTACCTGGGACAGGAGAGGCCCTCCTCCCTCATTGTTCTCCTATTCCTTCTGGGCTTTCTTCCTCCTTCTTTATTTTGTAAATATAAACCTTTTGCTACTCCCATTCCCCTTATCTTATGGAAATATAACTGTTGCAGCTCCCCTGTCCTATGGAAATGTAACTTCTCCCAGTCTGTAGCCCTGTGGTGGTGTGTTTTTTTCCATGTACCTCTAATTTTTTAAAATTTCCTAAACCTGCCTATATCCCCCTAAAATTCTTATTTCAATATTATTGACCTCTAGTAATAAATCCAGATTAATGTTTAAATGTTAAAGTCAACAGTGAGTTAAACTGGTTTAAAATAAATGTTGCAGGTAATATTTAGAAAATTTTATCAAAAGCAGAAGGATCATCAAGGCCTTCTTATGAGCCAAACATAAATATTCTACCATGAGAGTTTCTGTGTTTTTTGCTTGTTTGTTTGTTGTTTGGTGTGTTTTTAATCTAAATAAAGGAGTAAACAAGTTAGACAGGGAAGACATATTCAGCGCTTTTCTTATTTTTGTACACTGTGGTAATAAAGTTTTCCTGTCATGTGTGCTTCTTTGTTCCAAGATGATATAGATGATGTTAAAAAGCAACTGAATTAAAATAAAAAGGAGATTCTTTTTATTTTAAATGACATTTTTAGAAAAGAAAAGCAGGTTTTTTTTCTATCCAGAGAATGTGTACTTCAAATTACCCACAGTGAATTATACATGGAAACATTTCAAAACAGATGAAATGACAAAAATTGAGACATTATAAATGATAAGCTGATATATTTGCTCTGTTGAATTATGAAAAGAACTTAGCAGAGAACAGTACAAAAATTTAATGTGTAGATACATGATTTTATTTCTTCTGCAGCAAAAGAAGGCACAAAAATGAACTAACCTCCACAGTCATAAAGATGAATTTTAAAACCAATAAAACCCATGGGTACAATCTTCAAAACAGAAAGGAAACCCAGCCAGTGTGGTTTCATTCAATGATTACCAACATATCTATTTATTAGAGGTCTTTCTTTGATTCATTCACACAGACATTTCTCTGCAACAGTAAACCTTAGAGAATAATCCATGAAAACATTGCCTGGAAGAAACAAACAGTAAATGTTTAAAGCAGTGATTTCATACTAGTGCTGCTCAGATTAAGTTTTTTATCTCCAGTATCCTTGCATGATAATCAAACAAACTTCACTCATGAGGTTCTTTCCCAGAGCTCCCGATTGATAGTAAAAATGTCAGGGGAAGATAAGGGCCCACATCCTGCAGTAGTAGAGCCTCCTAACTAACCATTTAACCTCCACAACAGTGGGAAAGGATGTAACAGACTTGAGCAAGAATCTATATATATAAAAGCCTAAGCGAACAAACGACTGAAAAACCAAACAACCTGTCGACCAGTCGCTATGACACGCACTGACCACCAGGGCGCAGACACTCAGTGCAGGAGCTGCCCCCTGGTGGTCAGTGCACTTCCACAGTGGGAGCTCCGCTCAGCTGACTGACCTGTCCCAATGGCCCACCTGCCCAGAGGCAGCAACTCACTCCCTCAGTAGTCCTGCAGGTCCAATCTCCAGAGAATGGGCCAGGCACCGACAGACCGGTGCCGCTGGCATGATCCTGACAGTGCGGCCAACCTTCTGAAAGTTGGCCTCAGGCACCACGGCCACTTCCCCTCCTTAGACGCTCTGCAAGGAAGAAATGATATAAAAGCGGCAGCCAGGTGGCTCCTGACTACTGGCGTGAACGTCAGCGGGACGGATCTGGATCCCTGGCTGGAAAGGGCGTCCCACTGCCCACCCAGAGGACTGATCACATCCCGCCCTCCCCCTCCCCCCTCACTACAGGAGGGGCGGCAGACGCAGGGCTCACGGCTGGCAAGTTACGCTGCAGCGGCAGGAGCCCACGGCAGGCACAGCGGGGCTGGGATGAGCGGGAGTGGCAGGCAGGAGCAGTAGGCAGCATTGGATTGTGCATTTTGGCCCGATCCCCACAGGCCACCACAAGGGACCCCATTCGTGCACAAATTCGTGCACCGGGCCTCTAGTATAACACCCTAAAAATAGGTGTGTCTTTTTTGGACACCATGCAACACCTAGTGTGGAACTGACTGCAATTTAGTGGAGTTAAGCCAAGATAGTTTATCACAAAATGGCAATAAATAAAACATTTAAATTAATACAGATGCAAAATTTAAAAGGGAAGCCCTGGCTGAGTACCTCAGTTGGTCAAAGTGTTGCCCAGGTACACATAAGAAGCAACCAATGAAAGCATAAATAAGTGGAACAACAAGTCGATGTTTCTCTCCATTCCCTTCTCTCTCTAAAATCAATAAATTTTTAAAAAAATTTAAAGAGATAGTTTTGCCAAAGTAAGATGGAGCATATGCATTTCCCCACCCTTTTCCTCCCACCAGGTACAGCTAAAAACCTTGGATGTGACATAAAAACCTTAGAAGGTTGCCTGGCTAGTGTTGCTCAGTATTTGTGTCAACCTATGAACCACGAGGTCACGGTTCAATTTCAGGTCAGGGCACATGCCTGGGGTGCAGGCTTGATCCCTTCCTCTCTGAAATTAATAAAAATATATATTTTTAAAAACCCTCAGACGTCAGATTGGCTAGACACCTCCAGATCGAGGGTGAATCCCTAGGTTTCCTTTTTGCCTCTTGACTGCTGGAAACAGTGGCAACTGGTAAACAAACAGTCCAAGACAGACTAATTTCTCTAGCCAGGGGATTGGGAAAGGACAGTCAACAACATGTTTAACTTCCCTACTCCAGTCAAACAAAAGAGTGGAGAGACAGGCTCGCTCACCCTCACCATGCAACGTCCACTCGGCTGGCCACAAGGATTCTGTTAATTCCGGTGGAAGGGCTTCCCTCCTGGCTAGTGGAAAGGACTTCTGCATGCTAAATAAGACGCAATCTTATTAAATAAATAATATCATGCCGGGAGCCGGTCAATCCTTGCTGCTTGACACAGTCGCTGCAGGGAAGAAACATCTGCACAGCATATGTTTGAAGGGACCTGGCGTATATGGCATACTGTTCTTAATATGTTTGCTCACCTTCTTGGCACTATGTGTTTTAACCAAGGTCACCTCCCTGAGAAAGGTTGTTTCCCCAGGTAGGGATTTTTCCCTGAAGTTAGGGAGGGAATAAAACCCCTTAACTAAATGCCAGGCGGGTAGTTAATCACTTTAACTAAGAACAATCACGCTTAAGCTACATAATCTTTACTCCCTGGAATGGAGATAAGAAAC